AAGGACAGCCTACAGCCACCAGAAGCTGGAGAGGCAAGGAAGACATCTTTCCAGAGTCTTCAGAAGGAGCATGGCCCTACTAACACTTGGATTTCAAAATGCTGGCTTCCAGAACTGGGAGAGGATAGACTTCTGTTGCTTTAAACTACCTGGTTTGTGGTGATCTTTGCAGTTTGTTAGGGCAGCTCTGGGAAACGGATTCTTGATCCCTCCAGCCACCTCCCATCTTTTTTCTTCTCTCAGTCACCCATCCTTCCACCCCTGTCTCTGGCCTTCCACGCATGCTCTCATCCACAGTCCAGCCACCCACCCTCTCACTCACCATCCAACACTGATCACTCGCCCAGCCATACGACTGTTCTTCCGCTGCCTCCCCATCACCCAGCAACCCACAGCTGCACTCCTGGTGCATCTCTCTGGGAAACAGCCGGCTCCCACAGATTACCCACACCCCCGCTTGTCCACACTGCCTATCAAGAACCCCCTCGCACATCTATTTCTGCATCCAGCCATGTAGTCACTGCTTTGCTCATGAGCCACTGTTGATCAGCATGGGTCAGCACTCAATTCTAGGTGTACAGACATGGCTTTGACATAGCTGCCACTGTCCCCCCCCCCCCGTCCCACTCCAGCAGAGACACATGTGGCGGAGGAGTATATGGGCGTAGACTACGGTAGGGGCAGTGTCTAAGGCTTGGAACATTTGAAACTCTGCAAGCCCCCCACCCTGTTCCCCATTTTCCTCCCTAGGATATCCAGGCTCTAGGCCCTCACCGCCACAAGCCAGGCTGGCGTGGGGATGTGGGGGAGCAGGAGCCCTTGAGCCATGCTGCCAGGCTATCGTTCAGGATGGGATGATCCAGGGTTTCTGGGCCTGGGAGGGTGGAGTTTGGTTACAGATCTGGTTGCTGGGGTGCAGGGACACCAGGTGCTCCTAGGGCTTAGAGTTTACAGAGCAGGGGCAGACGTCATGGGTGTGGGTGTTGAGCTATGGGTGCAAGCATGTGTGCACAACCGGGGCCAGGCAGGCAGGTGATCTGCACTGCAGTGGAGGCCTGTGTATCTTTCTAGGCTGAGCGGGTCACATGGCCAATTGCTGTATGTGGCTGGAAGAGGAGGCGGCCCTACAAGCATGTGACACACACCAAGTCATTCCAGCTAAGACACCAGAGCAGGGCTCAGCTTGTGACCAGGATCAGTGTTCAGTGTATGACTACAATCAGGACTATGTGTGACTAGGATCTGGGCTCAATATAAGAACTGGACCAAGGCTCAGGCTGTGACCAGGATCAGGGCTTAGTATGTGACTAGGATGAGGGCTCAGCCTGTGACCAGGATCAGGGCTCAGTGTACGACTACAGTCAGGACTATGTGTGACTAGGATCTGGGCTCAATATATGAACTGGACCAAAGCTCAGGCTGTGACCAGGATCAGGGCTTAGTATGTGACTAGGATCAGGGCTCAGCCTGTGACCAGGATCAGGGCTCAGTGAGTGAGTAGGATTAGAACTCAGTGTGTGACCAGAGTAAAAACTTGGTTTCAGTTTGAGATCTGGGCTCTATATGTGACGAGAATCACACAGTTCAGTTATGAATAATCATTATGGCTCTAAGAGTTCACTGCTTTTCAGCTGATGGTGACTGATGACTGTCACTCCCCTCCCCCTACAAACCACTGCATTCCCCACACACAGAACCCCTCCCCAGATGCATAGGACTCTTTCTTATCCAAGTACACATGGACACAGGCCCACACCAGCCTGGACCCGATGTCCTGGTGCCCTGGTGGGAAGAGACCCAGGCCCCTGCCCATGGTCTCCACTTCAAGTCAGCTGGGAAACTCAGCTCCTCTGAGACAGTTCACAGGGCAAGGAGTGGCCCCCGCAGCAGTCAAGGGAGGTGCCATCCAACTCAGAGTGGAAGGGAAGTGAGGGGCAGGAGGAAGGGGACCGAGGTCAGCTCCGATCCCTCCCTGCCAGCATGGCCCACCCACCAGGGCTCCGCACTGCCCAGTTCCAGAGAGGACGGCCTTGATCACTGCCCTGTGCTTTCAGGGGGGACTGCAGGCATCTCAGGGCCTCAGCTCCACATGGACCGCAGGCCCTGGGGCAGGGTCTAGGCAGGGTCACGGACCCAAGAGGCAACTTGGCACAGTGCTGCCAGGCACTGCTTGGGCCACACTGGTGCTGCCTCCCGTCCTGTCCCGAAGCCCTGGCCCCAGGCACCAAGACTTCAGCACTCAGCACAAGCAGCTGGCGACGGGTTGAGTGGAGAGCCTGGCGTTACGGGCGGGTCCTGGGCATTCCCCATACCTGTGACTTTTAGGGCCGATGGGGTCATGCGGACAAGTACCCTGAGGACTTGACCACCACCCTGCTGCCCCTGCCTAAAAGCAGGCAGACGCTGGCCATATGGTCAGGGAGCCAAGGCTCCCAGGGCAAGGTCTGCCCAAGGCCACACAGCATGTCCTCTTTAGCCACAGCCTGCGTCCCCAGGACAGTGTCCATGTCCCGGCTCCCTGGTCAGTCCCCTCACAGCCTGCTGCCGTGAAGGACAGAGGGGATGCTTTCCTCACCGCATGTTCTCACTTACAGGCGGTGCTGAACAATGAGAGCTCATGGGTACAGGGAGGGGAGCATCACACACTGGGGTCTGCTGGCGAGTGGAGGGCTAGGGGCAGCACAGCAGATGGTGGGGAGGTTGGGGAGGGATAACATTGGGAGAAATGCCTCATGTAGGTGACGGGGGGATGGAGACAGCAAAGCACACGGCATGTATGCACCTATGTAACAGTCCTGCAGGATCTGCACATGCACCCCAGAACTTACAGCACAATAAAAAAAAGAAAAACAATTGACTACACAGGCTTCAGACAGCCTGGGGACTAAGTGTGGGTGGAGCTGTCCACACGAGGACACTGGTCACGTTGGCATTTATGTTGGTAGAAAGGGACGGCCCCCGAAGGCCACCAGCAGCGGCTGGCTGAGTGGACCAGGGCGCTGCCCACCCCAACAGAGCTGCAGCAGCCGGTGAACAGCCCGAAGGGAGGGTTTCTGCACTGTGGGAGGAGCCTGTGCTGGTGGCAGGGCTGCGGCTTCATGGGGGGCGGGGGGAGGTGAGATGGAACCACCTGCAGCTCCCGCCCTTCCAACCCCTGAAAATGCAAAGCCAAGGGGGGCTTTTTTCTTGCATTTTCTTTTTCCACCCTTACAAGAGCTAGAGAGCTGAGTTCCCAGGGCTGCAGGCCATTCAGCTCTCCCCAGCCCAGCTGCCAACCCCAGACCCAGACAGGAAAGACAGCAGAGTCCCCTGTGTGGGGCGCAGAGAAGGCGGGAGGCCTGGCGTGACCCTGCATCCCACCTTGAGGCCTTTGCACTGCTGCTCCTTCCCCTGCAATGCTCGTCTCTAGACATCCACGTGCAGAGCGGAGCTGGCCAGGCCCCTGCCAGAAGCTCCCCTCCCCTGGGAGGTGTGCAGAGGCCCCTCCTCGCCTGCCTCCGGCCCCTGCCGACCTCCTTTCCCACCCCATGCATGGCCCGCCATCACAACACTGCTCCGTCTGTCCCTGTTCCCCGGCCCTCCTCACTGCGGAGAGGAGGCTGAGGGCTGGGATGTGCCAGAATAGTGCCTGTCAGAGGGCAGTGACCGCTGGAGGAAGGGGTGAGTAGTGGGCAGTGGCGGATAGATTAAAGAACAGGCGAACAGAGGAGTGGGTGGATGGGTGGTGGGTGGATGGGTGGTGGGTGGTGGGTGAAGTGTGTGGATGGGTGATGGGTGGTGGGTGGACGGTGATGGGTGGTGGCTGAGGGTGGTGGGCAGTGGGTATAAAGAACAGGTGGGGGGGAGAAGTGGGTGGATGGGTGGTGGGTGGAGGGTCATGGATAGGTGGAGAGTCAGGACACCTGGCCCCACTAACTGTCCTCCCCCTGCCTCGGCCTCCCCTGCTCCCGTCTGCCTCTGCCCGCTCCTCCTGGCCAGCTCCCTACTCCTTGTGCCCTCAGCCTCCCTGCCCTTGCTCCGGCTGCCTCCCACTGAGCCGTCTGCCTCCCTTTCCCTGCCAGACAGCCTTGTTCTCCAATGCCAACCCCTGGCAGAGCCTTCCCTTGCTCCCAGGACACACACTTGTCACTGCACTACCCACCATGCAAGGGACCGTGGCCCATGCCACTGGCACCCTGGTGGCCACGTTAACCACACACACTCAACCAGGAAGGTGGTGCAGGGAGGCCTGGGGCTGGTGATATCAGAGCAGCCAGGGGACTGGGGCTGAGGGAGCCAGAGGAGCACCCTTGGAGGAGATGGGGGTGGGTCCCACACACCCAGCTCCCTGACCACACCCTCCCCAACGCACTGCAGTCCCTCAGGCTGGAGCCGCATGGCAGGACCCGGCTGCCATTGCTCCATCCATCTCCCATGTTCTGGCCTAGCTCAGCCCTGGGCGCCGGCACTTCCGGGCTTTTACACAGACTCTTCCTCTGACTGGGTGGGGTTCCCATCGCTGTCTCTGCCTCGCGGTTCGGGAGGATGGCCCCACTCTGGCACACCCGCCAGGGCTCTGAGATGGCACCTCACAGCCCGACTGCTCCATGCAGAACCTCACTTGGGGCATGGAACTTGCTTCATCCGCCCGCAGCTCCTTGGTCAGCCGGCACCCGACAAGTGCTTGGCCGGGAACTGGCACAGGACACGTGGCCAGTGAAGACCCCAGGGCCACGCCCCCATCCCATGAGCCTGAAGACCCCAGGGCCACGCCCCCATCCCATGAGGCTGAAGCCCCCCGGGCCACCCCCCCATCCCATGAGCCTGAAGACCCCAGGCCACGCCCCCATCCCATGAGCCTGAAGACCCCAGGGCCATGTCCCCCATCCCATGAGCCTGAAGACCCCAGGCCACACCCCCATCCCATGAGCCTGAAGACCCCAGGGCCATGTCCCCCATCCCATGAGCCTGAAGACCCCAGGGCCATGTCCCCCATTCCATGAGCCTGAAGTTCCAGCTCCACCCCAGGCTGTCCTGGTCTGCCATGGCGGCTCCCGCAGCCCCTCAGCGCTTGGCACCCACCTGCAGACCCGAATACCAGGATTTCCCCCTGCGGTGGGCATGGGGCTGGGGTGAGGTCAGGCCAGGACGCCTGCCCATCACCGGGCCTGGGGTTGGACCTCCATGCCCGCTCCTCCTTGAACTGTGGACATCCCTGGGAGGGGGTGGGAGGCGGCCTGGTGGGCTCCAGAGCCAGACAGTGAGTGACAGGTGGTGACAGGGAGTCCCATGCATGTACACAGACAGCTAGGGGCTTGGCAGCCGCAACCTAAAACTTGCACCCCTCCCCTACTGGGTCAGCCTCCCACGAGCCCCACCCCAGACCCCCAAGTGAACTTACACATCCGTCTCATCCCACAGGATGCAGGTCTGGTTGGTGGTGCCCTGGGAGAGGCGGGAGAGGAGTCAGGGCCCTGACCGCCCAAACCAGCCCCGACCCTCAGGTCACCGTGGGACCCAGACACAGGTATGCTGCCAGGTGTGCTGCCTGTGAGCGTCCCTTAACAGACTGCATTTTTTGAGGGGAAACTGAGTCAAGGGTGGAGATGGCAGTGGCCTAAGGTCACCTGGGCTTGGCTCAAGCCCTCACCACCCATGTGGCCTTGGGCAGCTCCTGGCCCCTCCCAGAGCCCAGGTCCAGTGGCCAGGCTGGGCAGAGTGGCTGAAGTCCGTCTCCCGGTATGAAGCAGGGCGATGGGAAGACCCTTTCCCCAGGGCCTAGTGAGCAGGGGTCAGCTGGGCACCAATGGCCTCTGTAAGCACCCTGCGCTGCTTTGTCGTCCTGCTAGTGTTCCTGGGACACAGCTTTGCCAGGCATGCCAGGCGCTGGTACTGCCAAGATGGGTATGCGACAGCAGTGGGGGGGCCAGCGCTCCTGAGAGTGGTTCTCAGCGGTGGCCTGCTCCGAGCAGCTGTGAGACTGAGTCCTCACCCAGCCCTACTGTTCCCACTTGATGAGGGAGGGAACCATGGCACAGAGAGCTTGAACAACTCTCCCAAGATCACACAGCTAGAAAGGACGGGGCTGGGTTCCCCCATGGCTTCCTACAGCCCTGGCCTGAAGACCTGGCACTGCCTGGTCCTAGTGTGGTAACCCAGGCAACACATGCCCTGGGGGCCCTGGCTCTCAGCCCCTCCAAAGGGCATCTCGGCCCCTCCTCCCCGAGGCCCGACGAAGAGCTCTGGAGAGCTCCAAGGAGCAGAGCTGGGACCTGGCTGGGGCCACATAGCAGCCGTGACCTGAAGGCCTGGGCTCCCTGCTGGGGAGTTTAGGGAGGATGCTCTCCTGCTGAAATCCCGGGCCCCTGCAGGCGAGGTCTGGCGTCCACCCAGGCGGTGCCGGCAGAGGGCATACTTGCACCCCCAGCTTCTTGGTGGCCAGGTGTTAGGGGGCCAGGCGGCATGGGACACGCTCCGTTTCTCAGAAGGGGAGCAACCAGACCAATGGGGCTGGAGGGTGGAGCCACTGTAGCCCAGGTGGGGAGTCAGGCACGGATGGAGTTTCAGCACCAGGTCAACCTGCTATGCGACCCTGGGCAAGTCACGCACCTCTGAGCCTGTTTCCCACCTCTAATTCAGGGGTAAACACAGCTCCCGCAGGTTAGAGCTGTTCTGAGGAGGCCCCGGAGGCTCCGTGGCTGAGGGCTGTGACACGATCTGAGCACACGCATTTCTGCAGGCACCAGAGCGCGCACGCGGACGGCACTCACATTGTACATGTGGGCAAACTCGATCTCCAAGGGTGTGCGCAGGGAGCGGGGCGGGGGCTTCACAGTCACGGAGATCACTTTGGAGTTCAGGACGGTGGTATTCCTGCAAAAGCCAGAACAGCAGGTGTCGGGGGGAGCCTCCCAGCCCAGGCTCCTCCCGGCCCTTCCCTGGGTGCCCTGGAGAGTCCCTGCATGCCTCGCCACCCGCCCCACTCAGCCCATCGTCCACACTCCCCCAGGCCCCCTGGCCTCCCCCTTCACCTCCTGGGCTGTGGTCTTGCCTACCCCACCTGCCCTGCACTGCCCACCTCTGCAGGGCCAGGAAGCTGCCCAGGTTCCGGTAAAGCACGGTGCCCACCACAAACACAGATGCTTCATCGGCCTCTGGAAGAAAGTGTACTGTCACCCCCTGCCCGCCGTCCCCACAACCAGGGCGAGACTTGGCAGCCTGGCCTGGCTCCACCGTCGCTGGCCTCTGCCATCCATCCTCAAGGTCATGTCCAGGAGGATGGTGAGGCCCACCCCACCCAGGAACACAGTGCTGCAGCCAGGGAGCTGGGGGGACAGCTTGAATCCCAGGTGGGAGAGGGAGACCAAGCCGTCCCCTGGGGCATCCTGAGAGCTTCGGGCAGGCAGGACACGGCTCTCTTCCCAGGAACAGGGTCCTGGACCTGTGACTCCCCGTCCCTCCCTGAATCGAGGTAGGTCATGTTGACTCCTCGGCCTGGGCCTCAGGGTTGATCCGAAGGCCCTGGCCTCAGAGAGGGCAAGGAGGGCTTCCTGGAAAGGGGGACCCCCTGGAGAACCGCCCAACTCTGAGGCAGCAGCTGGTCTCCAGAAGGATGGCGACCATCTGACACTGGGACCCACATCTCCCATGAAGGCCTCTACCCCGCTTCCAGGGCCCCTCACCTGCTAGCCCCGTGGAGAAGACACTCTTGGACACAGTGACCCTGTCCTCCGGCACCTTGGCCCAGTCGCCCGTGGCCCGCCAGCCCTTCATGGGGAAGCTGATGTCAGTGGCTCCGCTGGCTGGGAGCTTATGGATGCTGAGGACTGTGGGTAGAGGGGCAAAGGGGCGAGGGAGAGAGAGGGAGGGAGGGAAAGTCACCGATGCGGCAGGGCCTCAGCTGCAGGAGTGGGGTGCAGGCTGGCAGTGCTGGGTGATGCCACAGGGTGCCCATGGCTCAGAGGGAGGCGTGTGGGGGCCATCTGCCCCAGCCCCCAGGGTACAGACCCCAATTCCCTGCACCCCTGGCCCTGTGCAGGCCCCACACTCCTGGGGTGTGCCTTGTCCCCAGACCCCAGTGAGGTCCAGGAGCAGGGACAGCAAGGAGCAACACGCAGGGGCTGGGCCAGGCCTGGTCCTGCTGAACTGGAGCCTCGGTGATGGGCAGGGGACCTGCCCCTCTCACCCTCCATGGCCCACAAGGTGATCAAGGCAGAGTGTGGGGTCTGTCCTTTGTCCACGGAGGAATCTGCAGGGACCAGGCACCGCCTCTGCACCTCCCACTCCCTCCCAGGATAGGGGAGCCCAGCTGCCCTCCAGTTCTGTGAGCTGATCCCACCTCCCCTCCCTCTGTAGAAGGCAGGCAGGGGCGGCCCTGCCTCAGGGCTCAGACAGCAAAGGGCAGCACAGGCCCCTGTGGAAGAGGAGACCCAGTGTTCCCACCCACTCTGGGAAGGAAGGCGTTGGGGGTGCGGAAGGGCCCTGAGCTCAGGGTGGAGGGTCAGGGGGATGAGGCAGCAGGTTTGGGGGCAACTGGACAGACAGTTTGAGGAAGTGCCACTGGGGTGGAAGCCACTGTTGGCAGAGACCCACTGCTCTGGTGGGAACGTGGCCCTGGGGCCACGGCCTCAGCCCTCACAGGCTCCAGTGGAGCACCAAGAAGGCAGCCCAAGATGGGGCAGGGACAGGCGGCGGCAGGAGAATCAGTAGCTCAAATGCAGCGGAGACATGGAGGGCCGGGCACAGGGGTCTGCGCTGCGGATGTCACTGGCAGCCCCAATGGAGGGCAGAGGGCATATGGACTGGGTGGGCACTCGGGGGGGGGGGGGGGTGGCTCAGGAGGGACCAGCAGAGAACCAGGAGTGAGGACAATGGAAATGTGCCGGCCACCCGTCCATGCTCCAGCGTCTGCCCCCATCTGCTACCACAGCTTCCCAGCAGACAGACACTGGAGCATGCAGAGGGGTGGGGGGCCGGACACAGGGTCACTGAGGGGCGGTGGAGGGCTGGCCACGAGCGCCAGCATGGGCTGTGGCAGGTGTGCCCAGGTAAGGGGCAAGTTTCAAAATCTTTCATTGGAACAGGATGAAAAGTTGCAGAATTATTGAAATAATCACAATAAGTCCTGTTGATGCTTCTAGTTGAGGCATTTCACTGCGGAAAAATCAGAACGTTGTCTTTTTTACTTGTTAAAGAGGCAGGCTATCACCCAGGCTGGAGTGCAGTGCTGTGACCATGGCTCACTGCAGCCTCGACCTCCTGGGTTCAGGCGACCCTCCCGCCTCAGCTTCCCCGGTAGCGGGGGCTACAGGCACACCACCATGCCTGGCTAATCAAAAGAAAAATGGCAGAGACAGGGTCTCACTGTGCTGCCCAGGCTGGTCTCAAACTCCTGGGCTCAAGCGATCCTCCTGCCTCCGCCTCCTAAATTGCTGGGATTACAGGCAGGAGCCACCGTGCCTAACTTCAGTTTTTAACGTAAAAGGTTAGTGCTAGTTAGTCTCCCAGTGATGTCACAACAGGAATGTCGACCTGTGTTGGGCATGTGCAGTGGGACTTGGTCAGGCACAAAAGGCAGGAAGCCATGTTTCCACCAGCCATGTCTGAATGCTGCCCGCGGCACGGGCCTGGCCGCAGGGAAGCGGGGGCTGCTTCGTTTAAACGTCCTCAGACTGTGTCTGTTTTAGGCCCGGGGATGGGGCGCCTCAGGAATGCCAGGCGGCTTCTGATGAGATTAATACTGAAACGGGCATTTCCGCTGGTGAAGCACTGGGTCACCAACCCCGGCCTTGGCAGTTCTCTGGGTTTTAGGCTGGCTGGAGGGATCAGAGTTCAGACCTTCGTAGTCTGTCTACACACAGCCTCGGTGTCATTGTGGCCTACGGCTCGCCGGTCGGGAGGGTTTATTTATTTCATCTGGTTCGTATAAGGAGGTGCGATGGGAAGCCACTCTCGCTGGCTTCTAGTTCCTGACTCAGTGAGGAAGGGGTATAGGGGTGGGGCCTGGGCAGAGCAGCGGGGTCCTGGGAGCGCGTGAGGCTGAGCGCGGGTGAGTGGGCTGCACAGATGCACAGGGCTTCTGGGGCGTGCTGCAGCTCGAATGTGTCCTGTGAAAGTTCATGTGCTGGATACTGAATCCCAAATTCATCTGTTAATGGTACTTGGAGGTGGGGCATTTGGGAGGTCACGAGCGTGGGCCCCCAGGATGGCTTTTGTGGCTTCATGGGAAGAGCTGTGTCTCACGTGCTGCCTCCACCACGCTGAACTGGAGCAGGAGGGCGCTCACTGGGAGCTGGAGCTGTGCCCTTGGACGCCCCGGCCTCCAGAACCTCTCATCTTTATAGATTACCCTCAGTGACAGCACCAGAAAACGCAGTGAGACAGGGCTATGGAGCATGGAGGGTCACCGCGGTGCTCAGGGTTTGAACTGTGTGGGGGCCACTCTGAGGCCCCAGGCCGTGCCGAGCGCTGTGGGAGCCGAGAGCTGGCCACCAATTATGTCGTGGGCCAGCAGGGCTGAGCCCCATCCTACACCCACTCCCCATGCAGCCACACAGACACCCTCCTCTCTCCGGGCCACTAGTATCTCACACAGAATATGAGGCCAGGGAAGGAAGGGGAGCACCCCAGAGGGGTGATGCTGGGCCAGCACCCAAGGCCAGCCAGCCTGGAGGCATGCAGACACCACCCACTGGTGACCTCCCACAGCACCTGGGCCTGAGTTTTCCCACCTGTGAGAGAAGGGCTGGCCCCACCAGCCTCAGAGGCACATCCAGCTCTGGAATCCTGAGCTCTGAGGGCAGCGGGCAGTGCCAGGACTGAGGACCCCCAGCTTAGGAAACATGGGGATGTTTATCCAGCCCAGGGCAGCTCTGTGCCTGCTGCCACAAGGGCATGAGTGTACACACCGGACAAGGCCCCAGGGTGTGTGTGCTGCCACAGCTCAGCTGATCCTGGTCATATCACTAGAGGTTAAGCATCCCCACAGGGGAGGTGACACTCTCCCTCCTTGGTGCTCTGTGGATCACAGCTGGGGCCAGCACCCACTCCTGGGTCCTCCACTTCAAGGGAGTCTCTGATCAAGGCAGGGAAAGTTTGGGAAATGTGGCTTCTGAGAGGTATTTGAGGGCACTGTGGTGACAGTCATTAAATAGAATTCCTGTGCACATTGGTAATGACAGCCACCTTTTACCCGAGGTTCAGACGCTCACTCGCCTCATCAGTCTCTACCTCCCCATGAGGTGGGCACTGTCATCATCTCATTTTAGAAACGAGGACACTGACTTGACTGACACCAGGGAGCTGGGTGGAGGCTAGGCCCCTCTGCCAAGGCCCTGCTGAGGCTGAGACGCAGGGATGTGTGGGCCGCACAGCCTGACCTCAGACGCGCCACAGGGAGGGCCCAGGGGTGACAGGCAGGGTGAGCCCGCCCCCAGTGGGTGCACGTGAGGCACTGGCTGGGGAACGGAGCTCCCAGGTCCGGTCCCCGCCCAGGTCATGTCATCACCCCTCAGGAGACTGAAAACAGAACCCATCTGAGAAGTCGGCGGGGAGGGCCCACAGAGGCTGTCTGGTCACTCCCTCTCTGCAGAGCCAGGCGTGGGGGTGGCAGAGGGCGGGCAGGCTTACCCAGGTTGTCTGTCACCTGGTACGCATCCCTCAAGTCCTTCATGCGGAAGCCAATGACGTCCACAAAGTCCTCCACCAGCCGGAACAGCTCCTTCGCGTTGGGGCCCGCCTGGGGGACAGGGGGTGAGCAGCCCAGGGAGGAGGCCGCAAGCCAGAGCCCGGTGAGCGGACACCGGGTGAGCGCCGCCCCTCAGCCCCCGCCCCCTTCCCGTCCCCGTCCCTCCTGTTCTTATCTGCCATTTCCTAACATTTTGAGGAACCGGGGCTGGTGACCTCTGAGGACCCACTTTGGAGATGAGAACACAGATGCCCAGAGGTGCTGCTGTGCCCTGCCCATGGGGGGCCCAGGCTGGGAAAGGGCCTCTAGATACCCACAGCCCCCATGCTGGGTCCTGCCCGGAGACAGGAGAGGCGGCCGGCTGGAGGTCAGCCTGGGGCAGTGAGCGCTGCCCGCTCCCGCCATGAGGAAGGCTCCACGTCCCGGCCGCCTCGGCATGCCCACGTGCTCAGTTTTTTCCAGAACCTCCTCGCTGAGCCCCATGAAATGAACGACTGTCCTTAGACAAACAAGGGAGCAGATTGGAAACGCTGAGCTTCCTCAGCACCGCCAACACCGGCAAGAGGCCATCCTGGGATGTGAACCCAGAGCACCCAGCGGGGCCCCACCCCAGGCTGGCTGGAGACCAGGAGCCACCAGCTGCCTGTACCCCTCCTGAGGCTGCTGACCGTGGGGGCCCCAGGTCCTACCAGCTGGGCCTCCTCCCACTTTTCCCGGTTCTCCTCCGCCAGCAGGTTGCTAAGGATCTGGACAAAGTTCTGGAAAGAAGAGGAAGAAGGGCCCGTGACAGAAAACAGGGCGCACAATCACAGCTCAGTGACCAGAATCTGGATTCAGCGTGTGCCCAGGGTCGGGGCTCGGCGTGTGCCCAGGGTCGGGGCTCAGTGTCACCAGGGTCGGGGCTCAGCATGTCACCAGAGTCAGGGCTCAGTGTGACCATGGTCAGGGCTCAGTGTCACCAGGGTCAGGGCTCAGCATGTCACCAGGATCAGGGCTCAGCATGTCACCAGGGTGAGGGCTCAGCGTGTGACCAGGGTCAGGGCTCAGCGTGTCACCAGGGTCAGGGCTCAGCGTGTGACCAGGGTCAGGGCTCAGCGTGTGACCAGGGTCAGGGCTCAGCGTGTCACCAGGGTCAGGGCTCAGCGTGTCACCAGGGTCAGGGCTCAGCGTGTGACCAGGGTCAGGGCTCAGTGTGACCAGGGTCAGGGCTCAGCGTGTCACCAGGGTCAGGGCTCAGCGTGTCACCAGGGTCAGGGTTCAGTGTCACCAGGGTCAGGGCTCAGCGTGTCACCAGGGTGAGGGCTCAGCGTGTCACCAGGGTGAGGGCTCAGCGTGTCACCAGGGTCAGGGCTCAGCGTGTCACCAGGGTCAGGGCTCAGCGTGTCACCAGGGTCAGGGCTCAGCGTGTCACCAGGGTGAGGGCTCAGCGTGTGACCAGGGTCAGGGCTTAGTGTCACCAGGGTGAGGGCTCAGCGTGTGACCAGGGTCAGGGCTCAGTGTGACCAGGGTCAGGGCTGAGCGTGTGTCCAGGGCCAGGGCTCAGCGTGTGAACATGGTCAGGGCTCAGCGTGTGTAACCAGGGTCAGGGCTCAGTGTGACCAGGGTCAGGGATCAGTGTGACCAGGGTCAGGGCTCAGCGTGTGTGAACAGGGTCAGGGCTCAGTGTGACCAAGGTCAGAGCTCAGTGTGTGACCATTGAGCCCTGACCCTGGTCAGTGTGTGATGTGAGGTGAAGGTCAAGGTTCAGCCTATGGCACGGGTTAGGGCCTGGGCTGTGGCCAGGGTTGGGGACCCCACTCTGGGGTCCAGGAGGGCTCCCCAGACACCTTCCTGACACCCTCTTTCAGGACCACCCTCGGGGAGCCCACCTGTACGTCCCCAGGGGTGGGGCTGTAGTATGCCCTCCGGAAAATCTCGGTCATGTTCCTCAGGACGTCGATGGTGGACAGCAGGTCCCCGCTGTAGCTGGTCCCATCCTGGGAGATCTCCACCAGCGTCTGGATGACCTCCGAGACCCCTTCCCCCGGCAGCCCCCGCTGGGCCTTGGCCAGGTGCTCCCGGGTCTGCGGAAGACGCAGTGGGTGTGTGCCTTCGTCTCTGTGGGACACGTCCAGGCAGCCACCCAGGACCTCCCACACCTAGGGCCCTCTGCAGGGTCCCAGCCCGTGTGCCCGGGGTGGCTGGAGAGGGACTGGGAACCCCCGGCGCTGGGCCTCACCATCATCTGGATGTTTCTGTAGTCAATGGAAACGCAGCGGATGTAGGTAGGGGCCTCCCAGTAGGCGATGCCTTCCTCGTCCAGCTCACAGCGTCGCAGGATGAGTCCTGGGGAGACCTCTCCCTTCTCAGGTGGACACCCACTGACTGGCCCAGGAATCCCACCCTCGGCCCTGGCAGCAGACCCTCTGGATGGACCCTCTGGCCCCCAGAAGCAGGGACTCGCCCATGGCCTCACGCCGAGAGCAGAGCCCATGCGGGGACCTCGTTCTCTTCACACATTTTGGGCCGCTGCCTGCCCCATGGACTCAGGACCTGGCGGGAGCTGAGCCTTCAGGGACCCCACTGCGTGGAGGTGGAGCTCTTGGCCAAGTGGGGGCTTCAGAGGTCAGCCACAGACTCCTTCGGAGCCCCTTCTAACCAACCCAGAGTCCTGGAGAGAGCAGTAACCCCGGCCCCCCGCCTGGCTGCATACACAGGGCTACAGGGGCCTTGGCCTGGCCCGGAGACACGGGGGCAGCCTTGGGGTGCCTCTGGCATTGAGGCAACAACAGTCGCAAACACGGCACACCCTGTGACGCAGAGCTCACTCCCAGGACATCAGAGAACGGAGACAGCTGAGTGTACACAGCGTGTCAACAGCTACCGGGAACTGTCGAGGCCCCGACACCTGAGAGCCGTGGGCCTGGATGCAGAACCTGGTTCAGAGGACAAAAATGAGCAGCACCAGGTGACCCAGCCACACATGCAGGACAAAGGCCGGGGGGCGCGCCACGGTGCCACGTGCACACGGGGCATTCTGTCTCTCAGCATTTGCAATCTGCTACCAAGAACACTCCATGTTCTGTCATCGGGAGAGCGAGGGTGGCAACACAGGTGGTCCCTGTCGCCGACCCCACACCTCCCGCAGCAGCTCCGAGCAGAGGAACCCCAGCGGCCCTCATCCTGCAGATGAGAACGCTGAGGCTCAGGGAGGTTGAGTCCATTTCTGAATGTCACACAGCAAACAAGGGCAGAGCCAGAGTTTGAGCCTGGGCTCCCAACCTCCCTGCCTGCGGCCTGTCAGACATAAAACACCCGCACTCCTATTAACAGGAGAGGCGAAGGAGGCCGCCCCAGGACAGCCAGCCCCTTCCCCACGAGACTGCCCCTAGCGCAGGAGCCCCTTCCTCAGGAGCCTGCCTGCTTTCCCCATGCCCCCTAGGCACTCCCTGCTTAGGACTGGCATTCAACAGAGACCTCCTCTTTCTGTCCCTGCAGGCCCAGGACACATGCATTCGCTTCCCTGTGCCTCAGTTTCCCAGCTGTAAGTGGTGGCGCCTTCTTGGGCTGCTGAGGCTCCGTGGCCGTCTTGTGTTAGGGCTGAGCACGGGGCTAGCCCCTAGTGAGTGAGTGCTCAGAACCGCGGATGCCGCAGAGTTCCCACCCGGTGCCCTGGGCTTGCCGCCCCACGGCCCCGCGACATCACATGTGGGCCATCTGGGCTCCCTGTCTGGGCCGCCTTCCTGTGCCGACAGTGCCTCACCACTGGCATCACCATGAGGACAGGATGGGAGCCCCACACACCACATGCTCTCCAGCCCTCACCTGTGGCATTGCGGGGACACCGGACGGCAGCTACCTCTCCCGCTGGGGTCTCCTTCCAGATCACGGCACCAAAGTTGTCCTCATCACAGATCTCATGGGGCTCTGCCAAGGGGTGCAGCACAGGGGTTCAGGAAGGGGCACTGAGAGCCAGCAGCTGGCTCCAGAAGGCCCAGACCCGCAGGGTGCCTGGAGTGGGCATCACTATGAGGACAGGATGGAAGCCCCCCCCATACGCCATGCGGGTGACAACCGAGACCAAGCCTGCCTGACCACTGTCAGCCCTCCCCAGAGCCCAGCCCAGCCCAGGAGGAAGGGGCCTCACCGGGACACCGCTGGGTGCCGCACTGCCGGTACTCATCATGCGGGCCCTGGCAGGCTGCTCCCCCGAAGAAGGGCCCGGAGCAGACACGCTCCCGTCGCTGGCTGCCGGCCCCACATGTGACGCTGCAGCTGCCCCACGATGCCCAGGCCTGCCACCTGCCGTCCACTGCGGGGCACGGGTGACCAGAAGGGCGGGGTCCAGGAGCCACAGTGACACGGGAACACAGAGACAGGGACCCACACAGAGCCGTGCGGCAGTGAGACGCAGGGACCCGGGTGTGGGGCAGGAAGTCAGGAGAAGGGAAATTCAGACCAGAAGGGGAGAAACCCGTCATCAGCTGGGTACAAAATAAAGTAAACACCCCACATGCAGCCGACCACACCCCCCATGTCCCATTGTGCACCCCACAACCCCACTGCCACCCCACACCCCACTTCCCTGACGGATGCCCCAATTCCCACTGTACACGTCACACCCCATTTCCCGACAGACACTCAATTCCCACTACACCCCACACTCCACTTCCCCCACAGACACCCCAATTCTCACTGTGCACCCCACACTCCACTTCCCCAACGGACACCCCAATTCCCACTGTGCACCCCACACTCCACTTCCCCCACGGGCACCCCAATTCCCACTGTGCACCCGACACTCCGCTTCCCCCATGGGCACCCCAATTCCCACTGTGCACCCCACACTCCCCTCCCCCACAGGCACTCCAAGTCCCACTGTGCACCCCACTACCCCACAGCTACTCACACTCCACTTTACCATGGATGCCGCAATTCTACTATGCACCCTACTACCCCATGGCCACCCACCCTCCACTTCCCCCATGGACACCCCAAGTCCCTCTGTGCACTTCATTACCCCATGGCCACCCCACACTCCACTTTCTTCCATGGACACCCCACACTCTACTTCCCCCACAAACACCCAGACCCCACTGTGCACCCCACTCCCTTCTCAGTCACATGCCAGGGCCCACGGTCACTCCCACCCCACCGTGGGGCCTGTCTCCTCCCTAGAGGTTCCTGCTTGTGAGGTCCCCCCACCCCCCGCCCGGCGCACCCCTGACCTGGGCACTGCTGCAGGAAGCAGTCTCGGGTCTCCACCCAGTGGCCCTGGCACTCAGCGCCCCCGTAGGAAGGCCCGTTGCACTCACGCGTGCGCTGCTGTCGGCCCTGGGAGCAGCTGGCGGAGCAGGCGCTCCAGCTTGACCACTCATTCCAGTTTCCATCCACTGCCCGGCCCGGGGGAGGAAAGAGACACGAAGTGGGCGTGAACACCCAGGACCCCAGTGCCGAGCTTGGGGTGTGGGTATGAGCACCCGGGGGGCTACTGCCTCACACCCAGCCTGGGACATGGGTGGGAACACCTGGGGCCACCACAACCCCACACCCAGCCCGGGACAGGGGTGGGAACAGGCTGGGGCCACCACCCACACCCAGCCTGGGACAGGGGTGGCAACACCTGGGGCCACCACACACACCCAGCCGGGACATGGGTGGGAACACGCTGGGGGCCGCCACCC